AATCCTAGTTTTGCTTATAGTCTTTTTTTTATTTATTTTTAATGCTTTTTCTTTATATCCATCACCAAGGGATGAGGGGTATATTCATTTTGTTTTTTTTCATATTTTATGTAATACGCAAAAGGAAGCTTCAGACATTCTATAACGGGTATTTTTGATTAGTGTGAAATTCTGAATTCATTAAGCTATGTCTGTCCATCTGTTCGGTGTTTGCTGTTGGCACTTTCCTAGTCGGAAAAATGAAGCTGTCAACTTCAAATTTGGCAGAAACATTGGAAGTTCTTGCACTCATTTTGATATTAAAAATGAGCAAATCGGTCAAAGAATACGCCTACAAGACCACGTAAACTGAGAACATCTCTGTTTTTCAAAAGGAAAGGAAAATGCGCTTATTTTCTCGTTGCTCATAAACTATAGCAAATAAATATACAAAAATTTGAAGCAGAAACAACAAGCTTCAAAAATCCCCTAAATTAGATACAAATTCTTGGCCAGTTTCAAATTTGGAATGTGTATAAACACGTCCGTCCGTCTGCCTGCATAACTATAGTCAACACTTCCCTGTTATCGAAAATGAAGATATCGCCTACAGTTTCAAATTTGAAATGCACCTAAGAATGTCTGCCTATTTGTCTGTCCATCTGTCTGCCTGCACAACTGTGCAGTATTTGTGGTAAACTTCCTCCCGTTAGCGAAAGTGAAGACATCGCCTACAAATTCGGAAAAGAATTTAAAATTGACCTAAACTTTTCAAAGAACATGCCTACAATAACGCCCCCATGCCTGAATGACAAAAATTTTTATTTTGAAAATAGAAAAAATCAGCCGCATCCACTCCATACTATGGGACATGAAAATTTAGTTCTTTTACCTCTTTTGTCATTTTTAGGATAACGGTGATGGGTAAAGAAGGTTCGGTCCCGACCCAATTTAATTTTGTGTGTGGAAGTGAAAATATTCTTTTAAAAATGAATGTTTAAATTCCATCCTCGGAGCTTGTCAAGTCTGTTTTGATCGCCAGAGCATACTATTAGGGCAAGAATTGGATAATTGAAAGCTTTTAACAACATTGTAAGCATGTAAGCAGATATTAAGTGTTCAGGATTATTGTTCTCGTGTTTAGTTGATGCGAAAAAGCATTTCCCCCCGAACACATAAGACCAATAAAATTTCAAGTCAATTGAAATCAATTCAATCGATTTCTTTTGGAAAAACTTATTCTGGTTGAAAACACAATGCATTGTGTCTTAAAGCGCAGTTTGATAACGAAAGACTTCTGTTGATCGAAATTCTATTTTCCAATTTCATATATACATGCAATAAGCGAACACTATTTTTACATTTGTCGTAAGAAAGAATTCGTGTTTTTTACAACGCATGAGCAAAATCACCCTATGATGTGTGCTTAAGAAGCGTGAGCGTGCCTTCAGTTTGAATCAAATTTCTTGGAACACCTTACTAGTTAATGCGATGCTTGTTGGCAAGATAAAGCAAAGACAGTTTATTTTTGTTTTTTTCTTGGCCAATTGAAATTTGGCAGCACTTCTTCTAGATAACAGTACCAACTCACTTTTGAATAATTTAATCAGTTTATGTTTAAAGATGATGTAGTGCATAAGAAGCGAGACCCTGTCTTCAGTTTCAATTAAATTTATTGGAACACGACATCAGGTGATGCGATATTTGTTGGAAATATAGAGCAAGGACATCCTATTTTTTTGAATAATTGAAATTTGACCAGACTTCCCAGACAACTGTGATAATTATGTAATTCGTCTGGCCTTTCGCCACGTGCGCACCTTTCGACAATTCAACTGTTTTTTGTATTTAACCTTTTTAATATGATATCAAGTAAAACTACTTGTCGGCGCTTGCCCCATGTTATGCTCTACTTGTGATATATACGCCTATGTCGTATCGTACACTAGATATCTTACCGTATATTACTTGTCCTATCCTATATTATCCTATATCATCACGTTTGCCATATCTTGTATTAGATATCATAGCTTATATTATATATGGTATACTATACATCATGTCGTATATTTTAAGACATATCACATACTACGTGTCATATCGTATTGTATACTAAATATCGTACCGTATATTATTTGTCCTATCCTATATTATCCTAGATAGGTAGATACCGTATGGTATACTTTATATCATGCATGTTTTATCTTGTATTAAATATCATATCGTATACTATATATAGTATACATGCTATACATAGTATCGTATATTTCATACTACATCATACAATATGTGTCAAATCGTATCGTATGCTAGAGACCTTATTGCATAAAACTTGTTCTATCCTGTGCTGGATCATGCTGTACGGAATCAACCACCTATGACCCGCGGGTCAAGTATCGGAAAGTGGGTGCCCATGCGATCGTGGAATCATAGTCACGTATTCTTTATTGATTTATTAAAAGTTGCTAGTAGTTCTGCGCAATTAACTTGAACAAGAACGAAAAGGACGAATTATTGATTAAATTTATCTTTCGAACTCATGTGTGGCAGTCCTAACCTCTAAATGGAGAAAAGAATGGCGGGCATCACGTAAAATTCAATAAACTTATGTAATGTGTACTTAGTTCTGATGATTAAGATATATTTGACGAACTGAATACATCCAAGAAATATTTATATATATATAGGTGTGGGTATGAGTTTTCTCTTAGAAGATTTTCATAGACAAATAAGCTTTCAGACAAAGGTATTACAAGCCTCCTCTTATGAGCTCTTATAATTTTCATTATGTTGATATGATGAATGTATTTTTCCTATTGTTTACCATGACAATGATTTGAGTCATTAGTAGGGAAATTGTTAGAAAACACACGTGCTTCTCAATAATAATAATAACATTTTGTAATCGATATTTTAGAAATATTTCCATGTCGATTATATTTACGTTTACGTGGATTTTTTTGTTTTTTTTGTTTTTGTTTTCATATGTGATACAATTTCAAACTTCAATGACTTTAAACGGTTTCAAAAAAAAAAAAAAAAAATTCTCATTAGCCTATGACTAACGAAAGATTTTATTTAACTCCTTTTACTTCTCACTATACATTACTACGTATGCATTACATTTACAAAGCGCGCCTTATTCATCATAAATATAAGTAAATAAATAAAAATCGTTTAGCGAGCAGAGAAACTTTAAAGTCTCGCAGTGTTTATCTTGTTCCACTAACTACCCATAGATTTATGCTTCACTTTCAATTGATCGTATTTCTTATGTTAAAGAAAACAAAAACAAAAAAAAAAAAAACAACAAAAAGGGAATTAAATGCAAGCTCAGGTGTTTTTACACCGTGCAGTTTGCGGGGAAACGTTTCATTCACTAAAGATTAGCGTAAAGTTGTACCTCGCGCGATATTAAAATAAAAAAAAAAACGCATACGTTTTTCTCTTATAAAATATTTATCATATAAATTTTTTTATTTTTTTTGTTGTATTTCAAAGAATTTTTACGTCTGTTTTTGTACTAAAATGATGTTAAGAGTGTCAGTGTAACAATGGAACAAAAAAAATGATGAAAAGCTTAAAGACTCTGAGCTCCAAGACGACAAGATGAAGGGTGACGTGTTGACGATTCATACTAAGCGTGACGCATGGTGTTGGTTAGAAAGAAGTGGGAAAGGGGGGAGAGAGAGAGAGAGAGAGAGAGAGAGAAGGAGAGAAGGAGAGAAGGAGAGAGAAATTGAGGGAGAGATAGAAAGTAGAGCCGCTCCCAACTCAACCGAAAAAAATTAAGTAAACTCCGTATTCGATGGTTATTAACCTTAACTGATTTTGAGTTTATTTTACAGTCTTTACCCTTGTCAAGTATCGGCTAGAGTTGATTAGAGCTGCAAAGCAGTTTATTTTGTGTGAATGCCTAGAGGCTACTAACCTTAGCCAGTTTTAAGGTTATGTTACAATCTCTACAATTGCCAAATATCGGTTAGAGTCCCTTGGAGTTACAAAGCAGTTTATTT